AGTCTCACCTACAATAATTAAAGTAACACACCAAAAATAACTAGTGACCTACCAAAAATAATAAAAGTGACCCATCGACAATTGTCAAAGTCACCCACGAAAAATAATAAAAGTCACCCACATAAATTAATTTAAGTGACCCACCGGAAATAAAGTGACCCACCTAAAATGTTAAAAGTGACCAACCAAAACTAAAGTGACCAAACAAGAATAATAAAAGTGACCGACCAAAAATAATTAAAGTGACCCGACAAAAATGATAATAACGACCCACCGAATATAATAAAATATAAGAAATAAAATAAAATTAAAGAAAATAATTGAAGTCACCAACAAAAATAATTACACTGAGCCAACTAAAAGTGACCCACTGAAAATAAAGGGACCCACTGTAAATAACAAAATTGACCCACCGAAAATAATTACCCACCTAAAATAATTAAAGTGATCCACTAAAAATAAAGTGACCCATCTAAAGCAATAAAAGTGACCCACCGAAAATAAGTCAAGTCAGCCACCGAAAAGAATAAAATTGGCCAAAAATAACTTAAGTGAACCAACATAGTAATTAAAGTGAGCTATCAAAAATGATTATAGTGACCCACCTAAAATGATTAAAGTGACCCAGCGAAAATGATAAAATTCAGTCACCTAAAATGATCAAAGTGACCCACCAAAAATAATTAATGTGACCCACCTAAGAAAATCAAAATGACCCACCGAAAATAATTAAACTGACCCACAGAAAGTAATAAAATTGACCCATCGAAAATAATTACCCACCGAAAATAATTAAAGTGATCCACTAAAAATAAAGTGACCCATCTAAAACAATAAAAGTGACCCACCGAAAATAAGTCAAGCCAGCAACCGAAAATAATAACATTGACCAACCGAATAAGTGAACAAACAAACATAATAAAAGTGACCAAACAAAAATGATTATAGTGACCTACCGAAAATAATTAAGGTGACTCACCTACAATCATTAAATTGACCCACCTAGAATAATGAAAGTAACCCACCGAAAAAATTAAAGTGACCCACAAAAATTAAAGTAAAACCACCAGAAATAAAAAAGATGAGCGACCGACAATAATAAAATCAGACACCGAAAATGATTAAAGTGACCCAACAAAACAATTAAAGGGACCAACCAAAAAAATAAAGGGACCAACGAAAAAAAAAATAGTGAGCCACCTAAAATAATCAGTGACCCACATAAAATTACAGTGACCCACGAAAAATGCTTAAAGTCACCCATCTAAAATAATAAAAGCGACCCACCGAAAATAATAAAATTGACTCACCGAAAATAATTAAAGTGGCCACCAAACATAATAAAAGTGACCCACCGACAATTATCAAAGTGACCCAGCGAAAATAATTAAAGTAACCCACCAAAAAAATATAGTGACCGACCTTAAATGATATAAGTGACCTACCGAAAATAATAAAATTTACCCACCTAAAATAATTGAAGTGACCAACCTGAAATAACTAAAGTGACTCATCAAAAATAAAGTAACCCAACGAAAAAGTAGAATTGACCAACATAAAATACTTAAAACAACCAACCTAAATGATGTAAGTGACCCACTGAAAATAATTAAATTGACCCACCGAAAAAAATTAAAGTGAGCCACCGAAAATAATTAAAGTGACCCACCAAACATGATCAAATGACCGACCGAAAATAATACAAGTGACCCATCGAAAAAAATTAAAGCCATTGTATTACTGCCCTTTATAATGTTCTACTTTTAGGTTATTATCTTTAAAGGCAAATTTGTATGATATCTGTTTGTGGTTAAATTATTTTTGTCAAAGATCAAATAATCTATTAGAAGATAACATTTTGATAAGTATCATTACTGTATGACAGGAACGACTAATGTTCAATACTGGTACATGGTGGATAATTTTAAATGTATTATTTTAAGTATCCAAGGTACCCCTTGCTAGTCCTTTTGATACATAAAGTCTGTCAGGCAATTGTCTGTGATGCCTTCTTTTATAAACCATCATAGTCTGGTAAGAGAAAAAAGTCTTATTAGCAAAAACAAATTTAGAATTAGTAATGCAGAGATACCTAGCAAGAGGAATATTTTGGTAGTAACAGATGAAGAAAGTTACTGCGATTATCATTGGCCAGTTTCAATTGAAATATTCCTAGCCATCAATGTTGACAATTCGGTCCCATAGATTTATTAATGCATTAGGTAATTCTGTACAGTGGACGTATCGGGGTCTCTAGCAAAATACCTGTTTTATTTGACACATCCACTCCAATAATTTTCCGGTACCAAGAATGTTAATTCAAGTGGACTAACATTTGGGACAAAATCTTAAAGAAAGCACTTTGAAAGTCGTTAAGGTAGTATATTATGAAGATCAAAACAGTATAGGACAAACTACAGAAGGGATAAAATTTAACTTCGCCGCCAAAATATCTACCCGTCAATCCTTGCGCGTGAAACGAGTGAGTGCCGCAATTTTTTTATTTCCATGTTACCATGCCAGAATGGAAATACATCGATTCAAAAATATGTGTAAACGTCTCTATCAAAACATTCAATCAATAAGCCGCTCTATGGTCTGTTCTAAATAAAAATTCTTCACCAACATAGCCTGTTTGAGAACATAAACTGGGCCAAGGAGATAACATCATGAAGTGTGTATTTTTCAAGGTCTCATGTATGTTTCAAGGTCTCATGAGTTTTTCTTTAAATTTTGGCAAATGTAGCCTGGTTGACATTCGATTTGTAACGAAAAATTTTCGGGTTTGCCGTCATAAATCGAATGACACCGAGGCTAAGAAATGTAGGCAACCTAACTGAGAAATTATTGACATTAGTTATTCTATGTTGAGAACATCTACCCCACACCGTGTAATACAAATGCCAAGAATCTCTAAACGCACAATCCCTACTGCAACAAAAACCCTGCCAATCATGTGCTACAGCTGATTTCTTCTTTTACAAACAGGCTTTCGCTACATACTCTCGCTAAAAAGGACATTTTCTCCACTCCAGACACACATGCATGTTGCTGGTTAATGTTTGGGTCGGCTTCTGATCGGAGTAATACATAAATGAGGGGCGGCGAACTCCAAAATTCACAAATAAAACCCTTAAAACAGTAGGATATACAAAAAAAAACTACGGACGATCGTGGAATGCAAATTCTATATTTTGATCACGAAGTGTACAAAATTATAGCAACATTATTAAAAATTTCAGATGTTTCAAGAGGAACACAACTGCGTCACACTGCGTTAGGAATATCGGGTGTTGCAATTCGTTACGCCCAGTCAGGTCCTTGCATAATTTTTACTCTATGATGATACTTACATACATTTGTATGACAAGTAACACATATTATTACCAAAATGTCTAGGAATTTTAGACTAACAATCAGTTTCCATCATATTATTTTACAAAGCTTTTATATGTGTTAATAAAGACCCACCTCACTCAAAGATACTGCCGATCGTCAGATGATCTCGAGTGTCTTGTCCGGCATTGTCGAGTCAGGAGCGTGCTTGCTGGAATGTCGAAATTCGACAAGATTTGATACTTAGTTATTTGTATGACAACTAAGCAAAAAAGAGGAAAATCGGTAAATTTTCAGATAAATGACAGGTCAATTTGATCCATTTTCATGAACAACGTTTCGAACATTAAAAAACCCACCTGAAAGATACTGTCGATTTTCCGATGATGTCGAGTGTCTTGTTATGCATCCACAGACCGAGTTTTTCTGGAGTTACCGACACAGCAGTCGGCTCACAGGAGCACGTCAAACAATATGGCGTTTTCAGCTTTCTGCCAGCGAGGATTTTACCTTAGGCCGCACCGTCTTAATTTTATGGACGACATCCTCTAAAGACCCCCAAACTAGTGCGCGCGGGCGAATAAAAAAAAATTCCGGCCAAAAATAAAAATGCTACTAAACCACAGGAGTACAAAGCTGGTATTATGAATTTGCGGCAGTACATAGCGACGTATACGACAAACCTGCACATTCTGGCTTTTTGCGAAATGTATGAATCGGCACTGTACATGTACTTCTGTACTGAGTTCTTGAGTAGTTGAAGTCTGTAGCCTGGGTGCCGTCCCACAGAGTTATCACAGGCTCCCTATTGTCGCTAACTACGACTACCCAGGCCTAGAGCCTCGGAGGACGTGATCTTCTTTTTTTTTTAGAACAGGCGAAAATCAATGCGCGCACGGATGTCATCCATAAAAATGAGTCGGTGTGGCCTTACCTTACCTGCCTAAGTTTACATGTATGAAAATGAAAAAAAAAATCAAAGGATAAAAAAAATAATCACATTGTTGCCGCAACACAGGGGAGGCAATCTTCAATGATTTCCCCGGAATTTCTTTGAAGAAGGGAAAACAGCGATGAAGTCTTAAATATTCAAACTTGTCAGGAATAGACGTAAACATGTTTTAAATTGCCAACTGGCTACTTGGCACGTGGAACGTGAACTTTTCGCTTCTACTAGTTTTCCTTTGAAGTTAATGGTCTGGAGCTGAGAGTTGGCACTGTGCAGAACTCTAGAGGGGAGTTTACGTACACAGAAGTGAACTTTCTCGGGGATATTGCATTGGTGACTTTTTTTTAGAAACGTTTTGTTTGTAACCGGTACGTGTTTTGACGTGTATTGATTTTTTTTATTAAATAAATCACTTAATAGTCTGGAGATTGCCGTAACACAGGAGAGGCAATTTATTTATACATCTTCAATGAGTTCTCCAGAACTTTTCGAAGAAGGAAAAGCAGCGAAAATGAAAAAGCAATGAAACCTTGTTCCGTTGTGTAAACGTGTTTCAAATTGGTAGCAATGTATCCACTGGCCAGATGAGTGTCTAATGGACAAGAAAGTTATGTTCAAACAAGAAATGAGCTTTTCTTTTTTTTTTTTTTGGTCGCTGCTTGTTTGAAGTTGCCACATGATGTTTAATCGTCCCCCTTCTATGACCCTGATCTAGCTACATGTGCTGATCCCTGTGGTGACCACGGCAGCTGTACTGCACCTGACACCTGTGCATGTGAAATAGGATATACCGGCAGACTCTGTGACGAAGGTAACGATATGTACTGCGTAAATTTTACATTATACAAGCCCTAAAATACAATAAATATTCCCAATGTCTTGTATATGTTACTTGTATTTTGTCGTGTGGCGCTGTTAAAATAAGTAATTGCAGCGCCACACCGTCCTTGTTATGTTTCGATGAATAAAGAAATGTATTGCAGCCTAAGTATAAGTAGCATAAGTTAGAGCTTTAAAATTATGTCATTTTCTTTCTATTAAATAGCATATTATTGGTGTCATGTATGCAACTATTATAGTTTCTTTTCATATTAATTTTCTCCTCACGAAGATATTGACGAATGCGAGTCTCGGAACGGCGACTGTGACCAACACTGCATCAACACCGTGGGTTCGTACCGCTGCAGCTGTGACGATGGCTACAATCTTCTCAATGGGAGAGAGTGCAAAGGTTAGCATCATGCATCTATATTTAATAACATGTACTTTTGTGTAACATGTACTTTTTGTAAGATCAACAATCAGTGCTTATACATGTAGTATTTTTTTTCAATTTTTCTTATGCCTTCCTAAAGTGCACTGAGTGCTTATACATGTAGTATTTTTTTTCAATTTTTCTTATGCCTTCCTAAAGTGCACTGAGTGATTATACATGTAGTATTTTTTTCAATTTTTCATATACCTTCAGCTAATAATTGAAGACTTTTGTTATTCGATGACTTACACAATTTTTTTTTACTATAGTATTGTAAGAACAATGTTGAACTAGCAATACGCTCCTTGTGTATATTACAGAGGTTGTGTGCAGGATGCCTGTGGACCTTGTTTTCCTGCTGGACGGATCGGGGAGCATCACGGCGCCAAACTTCGAGATAACCAAAAATTTCGTCCAGAACACAACGAGCGACTTCCAAATCGGTCCTGCCAACACCCTAGTGGCTGTAGTTCAGTACCAATCTTCGCCACACGACGAATTTCCTTTGAACCGATACACAACATTGGATGAGCTTCTACCTGCCATTAGAAATATATCTTACCGAAGTGGTGGCACTCAGACTGGGTTGGCCATAGACTATGTCCTTGACAGCAGTTTGACGGAATACAATGGAGCCCGCCCGGGTGTGCCGAAGGTTGTGATAGTGGTAACAGACGGACATTCAGGTGACAGTGTTGTGGCGCCATCTCAAAGAGCACATCAGAGTGAGATCATCATGGTGGCCATTGGTGTCGGGTCAGGCTACAATATACATGAGTTAAAGGAAATCGCCACATCGAATGTCACCCTCGGTACGGTGTCAGACTTCGCGCTGCTGGAGAAACTGAAGGACGACATTCTCCCCACAGTCTGCGAACGTAAGTACAACTTACTATCACCAATCTTCAACATTACTTATCAATAGCAATAAGCTAAAATGTCTACACCATCATTGGAATGTAGACACAGTAATCTCCGCTTTATCTTTATCCAATACCTTGACGAAACTTAATGAATGAATGGCGACATGTATTGCATATTTGTGCCACACTGGCCGTGGGCTAAGGAAGGATCACAACAATACATGATTAAAAGATACAGTCAACAGATACAAAATAAAACTATCGTTAGATACATTCAACCCCGCTTTTCAGTTATAGCAGAGGTAACGGAACAGATATGTTTTTCGATAGAGGATTTGTCTAGTTGCAATAGGAATATGACCTTTTTTTACAGTGTATGAAGTAGGAAAATTGGTTTTGTACAATCTAATACATTTCATTTCTCTCTTTACTATGAGCCACAGTCTACATCCAAGGATACAAAATACTATATATTTATAGTAACTAAATAGACTCTTTCGCTTTGAATTAGAACACTGTTTTGCTTGCAGAGATCCCGGATGTTGATGAGTGTGATCAGCCAGACAGAGGCGGCTGTGAGCAGAAGTGTCACAACCTGCACGGCTCGTACTACTGCACATGTGACGACGGCTACACACTGGCTGAAGACAGGCATTCCTGTGATGGTACGTACGCAACATTTCGTGGGCTGTACTCGTTGCCGTTTACAATTTAAATGACGATCTTTTTTCAAGTCATTTTGCCAATAGTAAACAATACGAATGTATTGCATCAGCTATTTATTTTATTCTTTGCTTCAGGCCAGAGGCCCATATAAAAACAGGGACAATACAAAAACAAGTAAAGATACACAAATCACATACAGATGTCTAAAAACTGTTGCCAGTAGAGGCTCCTTGTAAACACGTCCGAATGACAAAGCGTGTGCACAATGCTATTTCTAGGAGGCGCTTAGCAAAGGAATATGACAGTTTGCGCCACCTGGCGTCGAAAGTATCGAGACATAATTAAGCACATAACAAGCTGTTACTACACCACCTAGGCTGATTCGTCAGCATTTTAAGTGCGTCATGGTACACTGTACGCTATAAAGACTTTACTACAAGCATCGAACATTCTTTTTAGGAATCAAAGTTGATAAATAAAATGTTTGTTTTCCGACAGACATTGACGAATGCCCGGCCCCAGGCTGCCACGTCTGCATGAACGTTCCCGGGTCCTACCGCTGTACCTGCCCGCAGCGGCACAGGCTGGTCAACGGCAAGGATTGCAGAGGTAAGCCTTACAAGGTCATAGTCAATGTATATATTCTAGTGCAACACCATCATTGGCAGTCCAGCCTCGGTGCAACGCCAGTAATTGCTTCTAACTAGAAGAAAAACCAAAACGAAACCTTCTAGTATGTAAGACGCCCAATACACAATAAGTAATCAAGATGTCTATTCAACAATGTGTAGCCATAATTTGTACCAATGTTAAGGTTTGATTTTAATTTCTCGCTATAAAAACATCTAACAGACATACGATTATGTCTCTCTCTTGCCCATTTTGTCTGTAGTGCCCTAGAAGGGCATTTCGTTCGTGGTAATGGACCGGTTGGTAGACTAATCAATTAGCTTCCCACTGAAAGAAGTAGAGTATCCGGACCTCCACATACTACACTTTTGTTAATGTTAGAGAAAGACGCTTGTCTCGCAGTGACTGCTCTAGTGGTCGTCATAAAGGACCGGGTGTATTGGAGTAACTTTAGCAAGCCTACCTCATCGGATTAATCCGGAGGTACAAGTATGATGATGATGATAATTTCTCTACTTTCGCCGCAGATGAAGACCTTTACCCGTACGGTGAGGAGGTGGGGAGGGGTCCGGTGGAATGGGACTACAGAACCTGCCTGAAGAGAGAGCTTCCAGCTGAGGGCTTCCGCTTCTTTGACCAGCGACACCACAATATACATGTGGGTGTCATCTCTTACATTGACCTTTTTTTTTTAAATCTGTTTAACCACATCCTCAAACTGTGGCGTTATATCGATAATTTTCAAAAAGGTTTTTAACAGCTCTCATATCCCCTCTACTGTACATTTATCTATTCATTGATTAATGAGGTAATGAGCTAGTGGTCCTCATAAATGGTCTTTAGAGCACGTCGGCAGTACGTACTGCACCTGCGCGAACCCGTAATGTATTATGCATAGCACTTTGGCAGAACGTCTCATGCAAAGGTGTACTTGCACACATAAGGTTAACACTCCGTCTGTAGTTTCCAAATGTAATGTCGGAAACGATATCGTCTGCAACGGACAAAATTCTAATGCAACGGTGACCAAAAATCCAACGAAAACGGCGAAAAAGCAGGGTTTTGAGCAGGCGCAGTACGTTCTGCCGACGTGCTGGACTTTAGACATATGGGTTTGTGTTTCGTTTTATCACGTATTCAGGTATGCCACAATGGGATAGTCGCATTTACCAAGATCCAGCCGCCAGTTTGGCCGACCAAGCTCAGAGACAGGGAGTGGTGGAAGACCCCAGTCATAGCGCCATTTCTAGCCAAGTCTCGTCCTTACGTCTCGCGAGACCTTCACGAGAGCAGACGTACCAAGATATACTTCGAGATCTACGAAAAAGGCGATGGAAATCCAAACACTACAGCCATCCTCGATAAAGCCCGGGTCCATGGGAGATCTGCACCGAAGTTTTATAATCCAGGTACGTTCCCTGTTCATTATGAAGTTCAGCATCAGACTAACGTTATCAGAAGCATTCTGCATTAAACAATTTGGTGGCAATAACAGACCCGGAAGTACTGCTTTGGGTGGCTGAGATGTCGGTTTGTGTACGTGCCTGTACTGGCAGGGCAGGTTCAACTGTTGAGATCACGTGTGTGGGAATATAGGCAGACTAAAAGGAGCTCAAAGGTATAAGAATCTGACCGGGAGCCAGTAGAATTAGAGGTTGACATGGGGGAAATTCGGGAAGGCTGAAATCTATTTCTTGTTGTTTTCTAGACTATGAGCCGGTGTGGGTTCTTGTGACCACCTGGACCAACATCGCTCCAGACTGCAGCACGTTCGTGAAGAGTCAATGTCCGGTGGACAAGAACAAACTACCTGTAAGTAAACCGTGAATTGTGCTCAAAAACTATGTGATGGAGTTGTTAAATTCTGAACACAACGGAAATTCCTGATACGAAGATTACTGATACCGTTGTATTATGAAATAAAGACAAAGCTTTAACTTTCAACAATTGGGACTTACCCGTTGTATTGTGTCAATACAGTTAAACCGGTTTCAACTCGCCCTGTCAACAGACGGAAAGTATTCGTATGCAACCTTCATCTACCCAGCAAAGACCATCGAATGGGCATCTCCAGGTAACACTCCTACATAACGTAACATCAGATCTGTGTTAGTAAGGCCACATCGACTTAATTTTATGGATGACATCCGCGAGCGCATTGATTTTCGCCTATGTACTGCCACAAATTCACAATACCGGCTTTGTATTCCTGTGGTTTAGGAGCATTTTTATTTTTGGCCGGAATTTTTGTTTATTCGCCCGCGCGCACTAGTTTGGGGTGTCTTTAGAAGATGTCATCCA